TACCTATCAGCTATTTCACTTTTAAATGACGACGATGATGATAATATACTACTTATATCTATCACCATCAGTAGTATACACAACAATACTACTGTCTATGTATTATTTTTTCTTTTAAACATAATATTTAGATTGACAGACTTAAGTGAAATATCACTTATCTAATAATATCAAGTATTATTGACATATACAAATAAAGTGTGTACTTTGATGATACACTTTTCCATCTTGTATTCTCTTCAACTTTTCTTTCTTTTATTTTTCTTTGTTTTTTTTCTAGAAAAAAATCTGTTTCTAATCTATTGACATAAAGGAAATAGAGAGAGAGAGTGGGAGGAGAGGGAGTAGGAGAGGGGAGGGGACAGGGAGGGAGGGGGAGAAGGAGAGTGTGAAAGAGAAATACACTTTTTGCAATGTTATTTTTTGTCAACTTTTACCTATGAAAGAAAAATTATGAAAAAATAAAGAAAAGTAAATGGAGATAAATGTCTCTTTCTCTACATTTATTGAATTAATCAACAAATTCTCATGGTTTGGATAGTTGAATTGATGAATCGATTGAAACTAGACCGTCATGGAAGATCTGGAACTACTGGAGAGACATTTCGTCCACGTATGGCAGTCCTCACCAGTGCGCATCCACGATCTTGTACGCACGTGGGGTTCGAATCCGAGATATAACGGTCTCGTGTTTTAATGCTTATTCTCTAGACTACTGAGCTGGCATATAATGATGTTAATGTCTAAGTTTAGCCAATCCAAAAAAATGGAGCCACTGTCCACCGTTGTCTTCAGTGAATTACTATCTCATAACAGACCCAATTGAAGTCTACTGGTCACGACTTCTCACTAGAACTCCAGGAAATACCTTTTCGAGACAGTCATCAGTGAGTTTTAATTGACTCATGAATTCAACTATTAAATTACTAGGACCTCCACAAAATCGTCTTCTGAAAATATTAAATGGTTAGGAGTGTTAAAGTTAAGAAATCGTAGACTTGTGTTTCATTATACTTAACATTTGTCAATAATTATTGAGCTGTTTGATAGAATTTATTAATTACAGAAGGATTAGTTAAATATAATGTCGGTTACTTCGCATGGATCAATCCATTCCAAAATATGGATAAATAATAACACAGAAGACAATAAAGAACAGTTGCAAAATATGGTTAATTGGTTGAAGTTAGAAATTAGAACTGTGAATGCTGGTACAGTGGTCTGGATGCTAAGAGTTCGCGTGCAAGACTGAAGGTACTGGATTTGAATGCCTTTGGTACAGGATCGTGGATGTGCATTGCTCACGACTCTCATACTACGACGAAATGACCTTCCAGTACTTCCAGGTTTTCAATGATGATCCAACATTGATCGGTTATGTCAGATAGACTGTAAATTACTGGTTTAACAATACGAACTATTGATGTCATCCATTTTGGTTAAGACATATGTATTCTGAAATGGATATGAAGAAGATCAGATCAAGTCGTATGATACAAATAACACCAGTAGGACCATATTTTGTAATATGTAAACATACTACCTATAATTCGTAAGTAGTATTATTTTAAATATGACTTCTTGTAAATTTAAAAAACTGGACTTGTTTTCAATGTCAATATACAGCTAAATTGACACAATGTTGATTATGAAGACAGAATCTAGCATAAGAACTTACTGTTAAATGAATAATCACTTTCTCTGGAAAAAATACAGAACGTTATCAAGTGGTTCAATATAGTCTTTAGGAGATCTCAAGTTTCTTGTTAGTGTAGTTCAGAAATACACTCTGAAACTTACGATATACATCCCATCATCTTTGGGATGGATCGTTTCAGAGTACATACCGGAGCTTAAATCTTCCATACACCAGTAAGATTCCAAGAACTCCACACATCACTAAAATTCTATAAATATGGCTAAAGTATAGAACAAGCTAGTCACTGGTGAACACATGTTAATTATCAGTATAGGGTTGTGGAGATGATTCACTTTTTGATTGAGATCATGAGCCGATTGATGTTAGACCACTTATTTGAAAAAAAACAAAGTATTAATCATGAAACTACTCATAACTATCTGTACAAAACCCTTCTGATAATAGTCTATAGATCAAAATAAAGCTTATAATAAGAGAAACAAGAATATGCATATTGTAGCTACTTAATAATTATACAATAAGAATATATGCATAGTATCAGTCCATAAGTAGATCCCAACAATTACCATTCATTATTCTAATAAGGATATAACACCATGGATAAATGATCATTGTACAAATGTTTAATACTTATTTTGAACTTCTTAGAACTTCTCATCCACAATACCAAAATTTATACAATAAATGACTTGGGAGAATTCAAGTGTAAATCTAATCATTCAAATCTAGTCTAATCCCAGTATAATATGGCTTGTGTAGCAAAAGTATCGAAATTGAGAAAGTTCCATAGTGATCATAAAGCATTTTTAAACTGATTTCTAACTAATAAGAAGGGCGAGACTCTAATTTATGGACGAGCCAATTAGAAGCGTTTGAAAGATTTCAAGGTCACGGCGCCAACCCTCGACACAGGTTTCGTGCTACTTGGCACACGTCAACAATGTATACTTGTAATCTTGAGAGAACATCGATTTCAGAGTTTCGAGTAGACTACCTCCAACCACCATTTGAAGGTGAGTAAGCGAAAAATTTGTGAACCAATGGATGTTACATCACTATCTGTAAAGTTTCATACTTCATGCAAAAGAAGAAGGATGTATGGATTTAAATTATTATTAACTCATGGATGAATACTTCTGATCACCATTTATCCATCATAATGTGTAGAGTCAAGTAATGAACCTATTCTGTTCAAATCTCCTTTATTCTGATAAAGGTCAGACTAAATTATAAATATTCTTGATATGTGTATGTCGGCGTTATAGTTGGCAGTTGAATCAAGGACATGAGTTTCCTTCAACTGGAAGCTTATTAGCTATCTATACCTGGAACTCAGTGTTTATCTTATCTTCAATATGGTTAAGTCATTTCAACAATTGTTTATTTTCCTGTTTAGATTTATTTAGAATACATCATATTCCTTCACAGCTCAATTTCGTGGGTTGGTTGACGTTAGATATTAACACCGTTGGATGTCAGCTCAGTGGTGTAGAGGTTAATAGTTCTCTCGCAAGTCCAAAGGTCCTGAGTTCAAGTTCCGCGGGGCAGTATTGTGGATGTGTACTGCTGAGGAGTCCCATAGTAGGACGAAGCGGCCGTCTAATGCTTTCATGTTTTCCATGGTTATCTAATTTCTTAAAATGTTTACTGTCTATAAATGTTGATTAAAGTTTTACAGAAATGAATGTAAATATTTAAATTATTGTGAGTAGTATAAAACGTTTTTTTGAAATTATCAAAGCGTTATTTTCAAACGAAATTTCTAGACTATAACATACTTAAGCCTGTTACTTCTCATGGAGGAGCATGGGCCATCCACCAGCACTAGACTATAACATGCTATTACTATTTACAGATCTTCAGGATGATATAGGCGAACATGTATGATCGTTTTTGATAAGACATTAATTTATAGATAACCTTTGGGCGATTCTGGCAAAGCAAGAGCAGCATATCTACAACTGAAGAACATCTGGAACTCAAAACAACTGACTGTCAACCAACACGAAAGTCAGAATTTTCAATACAAATGTCAAGACAGTTCACTGTATGGAGCGGAAACTTGGAGAACCATGAATGCCATCATCCAGAAGATACAAGTGTTTATTAACAGCTGTCTAAGCAAAATACTTCAAATCCGTTAGCCAGACACTACTAGCAACAACCTACTATGCGAGAGAACAAACCATATTCTAGAGGAGGAATAAATCAGGAAGAAGTGCTGGACGTGGATAGGACGCACAATGAGGAAAGCACACAACTGCATCACAAAGCATGCCCTCACATGGAATCCTGAAGGCCAAAAGAAGGAGAGTAAGACAAAAGAACACATTACGCCGAGAAATGGAAACGGATATGAGAAGAATGGACAACAGTTTGATAGAACTAGAGAGGAAGGCCCATGACAGAGTGGGTTGGAGAATGCTGGTTGGTGGTCTATGCTCCATTGAGGGTGACAGGCGTAAGTATATATATAAATATATATATATATATATATATATTATATATATAAATATATATACTAGATTTGTGAAATGAACACTGTAGTTTTTCAATATAGGTTCTAGGTGTTTACGGAGATATTTGAATATTATTTAGATCATGAGGGTGTTCACATAATGGTTTATAATTGATCGTTAAGCTTAGGAATTAGATTCAAGGTTTTCACCACGATCTGACATCAGCTATAATGCCAAAATTCTATTTAACCAAACGGATGAATGAATTTCGTGCTAAACTTCAAGACCTGTTACCAGAAAAGCGCGTCCAAAATCTCACACCACGGGACTCGAACCCAGAATCTTCAGTCTCCTGAGAGAACGATATTAATGTCTGACCTCAACTAATCCACAAAAATGAGCTGAGAAGTTGCACAATGAACTGGATCAATGGTCTAGAGGTTAAGCGTTCGCATGCGAGATCGAATGTCCTAGATTTGAATCCTGAGAATACACTGAAGTGTCGCATACTAGGATAAAACGACCATTTGATGTTTCCAAGTTTCCTATGGTGATCTAAATTCATTTGACTCATAAATTCAGCTATCAAAATTCATATAAGCTGTCTACAACTGTTGAATCATTACAAATTATCTTCAATGATCATGTTATTATCAAATTCAATAATCAATATAATTGATCCATACAGATCAAATATCATGTGACTTGATCGGTTCATTTTAAAATATTCTCTAAACTATATTCACATTATACACTAATTGATATTGCGAATTTTTTGTATAGAAGATCATTCTATTCTATTCTATTTTTAGATTAAGATCCTGGAACAAAATCAAACCAAAGAATGTTCCATGGATTAGATCTAAACTAAGAAATTAATAATGAAAAAGAAGTGCTTCAATAAATTTCTCAAAGTATTTCATTTAATCCATAGAAAGAAGTATCATCTAAATGAAAATGAATTCGTTTCAGAACATCCTTATGGAATATCTTCTATTAGTCCATTACCAAAAGGTATATTCAATAAAGAAGGATCTATGGAAGGTGATGATGGTGATGATGAAGATGAAGATGATCATGATGATGATAACAATGAAATCTCATCGATGTTTTCTATTCCAACACAAAGAATGCAACATAATTCATTGAATTCACATCAGAATAAACATGATGTCATTCAATATGTTCTAGGTGATCCACAGACGATGATGCATCATTTAACAAAGAAGATTAAACAAAAAATACCACAATTATCTAATAAAAATATAATGGATAATACTAAAACAAATAAAGTATCTAGGGAGAAGTTGAATAACTTGACGACGTCCCAACAACAACAAAATACTACTACTAGTACTGGTAGAAGTACTTCTTTGAATGGGAAATCAATAAAAGAACAATCCAAGAAGGAATTAAAACTTAAATATATGGATAATGCTAAAACAAATGAGGTTCCTTTAGAGAACTTATATAACTTGACTCCTCCTCCTCGACCTCAACAACAACATACTACTACTACTACTAGTAGTACTAGTACTTCTTTGAATGAGAAATCAACAAAAGGATTATCCGAGAAGGAATTAAAACCTGAACATATGGATAATGTTAAAACAAATGAGGTCTCTATGGAGAACTTGGATAACCTGACTCCTTCTCCTCCTCAACAACGACAACATACTACTACTACTAGTACTAGTAATTCTTTGAATGTGAAATCAATAAAAGGACTATCCAAGAAGGATTTAAAACCAAAGTATATGGATAATGTTAAAACAAATGAAGTCTCTATGGAGAACTTGACGACACCCCAACAACAACATACTACTACTACTGCTACTAGTAGTAGTAGTACTTGTACTAGTACTTCTTTGAATGAGAAATCAATAACGAAACTATCCAAAAAGGAATTAAAACCAAAACACAATAATAAACAAGAAAAAGATAAAATCTCAACGAAAACAATCTCTTCAATACACAAATCCAATAAATCTCATAAAGAGATTGATGAAGACAAATTGAAACGAAAAAAGACGAAACAATCGAATATACATAAACAAATAACAAACAACGAATTGATTGATAAAACAATGACTAAATCAAATAAGAATGATCCAACTATTCAAAGAGAACATAATATCATTGAACTATTAGATCCAATCCATGATCAAGACAATACCATGAAACAAATTGATGATCTAATCAATAAAGACTTATCTATTGAAACAATTAATAAATCAATAAAGAATGATCTAAATATTCATGAAGAACAGAATACAATTAAAATATTAAATCCAATCAAATCGATTGAATCAATTCATTATCCAATAAATATTACCATGGCAACAATCGATCATATAAATATTCCGTTAGAAACAAAAAATCAATATATTGAAAATGATTTCAAAGGTTTAAAAATATTAAATAATAATATTCTTCATTATACTGATTTAATAGATAATAATCATAAACAAATAGATTATATCATAGAGAAAGAAAACAATGATAAGACATTAGAAGGTAACCATGACAACAATCTAGATCATAATGTCTATCCAATGACAAAAAAAGAGAATGGAATTCAAACCGATCAAGAACCTAACGTTATATCAATCTCTAATGTAGATCATCCAAAAGAGATCTCATCTAAACAAATTCATCATATAGAAAAGATAACAAGAGATTATCTTGATAATAATTATAAGAATAAATTAAGACCTATTCATAATGATCAGAATAGATCTATTCAAGAGAAAGACTGTACAAATTGTGAACCATCAAAAGATGAATCATCTAGTGAAACTTTCTCATCAAATCCAACTTATTCATCAATATATCATAATAATGGTAAATGTGAATCTATACAATGGTATAATAATCAACCATATCATGATCATCATCATCATCATGATGATCATCATTCAATTCATCATAACTGTATGCTTAGGGATTCGACGAAATCTCCACGATTATATTCATGTTATTGTAAACATAATGAATGGAATAATTCATCAAAAAGATTGAATACAAATCAATTGAAACATCAATATGGATGTTACTATGGCAACTCTTGTAAACAGGATCATTTCAATAAATATCGATATTCATATCTTAAACGATATTTATCTCCTCAAACGATAAGATTATTAAAGAAAGAATTAAAGTATAGATTATCATTTAGAGATCGATATTGTTTAAATCGAAATGATCAAAATGAATATTGTCATTGTAGTACATCATGTTTACCATCTAAAGAATATGATACTTCTTTGATGAATCTGAAACAATTGACTCATTCTAATATACCATCCAATTCGTTTAATCCAATACAACAATCATCATTCATGAATAACATTATAAATCCTATGAATATACCATCATGGTATAGTTTCAATGTACCAATGATGATAACACAACCACGATTTATCATAAGACATATTCCAGTACCAATGATTATTCCACAATGTTCTACTAGAACAATTCAATCAATGAATTCATATCCATTATCTACAATCAATCCATATGTTTATCCGAATGATATAACTTCTAATATATCACAACCAATACATTATGGTCTACCATATTATCAATAGACATGATATGTAAAGTGATCATTAGTGAAATATACATTCAATAGTTATATAGTTTATACCTTGATTAAAAGTGTTTCATGGGATATATTGATGGTGATTGGAGGTAGTTAATAGGAATATCTGGACTTTTGGCATTCATTCAGAAGATGTACTTGTTATTTTAAGGGTATTGATGCTGCTTGACAAATTCGATCATGTGTCAACTAGCTTCATAGTCAAAGATGTTACTGTTGTGACGACTTTTACCGGGCTGTAAGTTACATGTGGTGTTGAGTGCCATGTGTTGTGTATGCGTGAACACCGATTATTACGACACGCAATGTTGACTAGTGTTGAGGATGATTGGAAGAAAGTTAGGGGTGGCCAAACTAAAACGTGGCATCAGTCATTGAAGTCACTAACTTCTTGTTTGAGCCACTTTGGTAGATACAGACTACTCGGTTGGGGTCCGCGTGACCACCGTAACCAATGGTTGGAGACTCTGGATGACATGGCATAGGCGTATACACTTTCTGTCTTCACTTAAACTATGAGATTAAAATCGCTTCATATCTTTCTTTCTACGAACTAATTCTTTCCTACTGTACTACGTCCGTATTAGTAATCTTTCTTTTATATATTACCACCATTGAATTAACTACTTCTATGAATCCGGTGTTCATCTTGTTGTGCTAATGAGGTGTGGCAACTTGGATCGATGTATATATGTGCCTGGTCCTACATCGTAGCTGACTGACTGACTGACTGATAGTTACACGAGATTTATTCGCCAATCGAAGTACGACTTATACAATCTTAGTACTGTGCCAAACCAATGATGTTCGACCGGTATGAGTAGCCTACCGTCCTTATTGGTCCTTTGTTTGCCTAGTCCATCTAGTTGAGTCCAGAACGTCTATAACAGCTCTCACTATGCGAATCATTTATTTCAAACATAATTGGTTTATAAACCAGCCAAACAGATCGCATCACACCATAAAATAGGAAATAACATTCATACAAAATCAAGCCAAAAGTGGCTGTGAACAAGGGACACTGTAATCCATGAACTGAACATAATCGTATTATAGTAATAATCTATACATCAAAATGAAGCTTATCATAAGGGGAATGTAGATATATGTAATCTAGTTACTGAATAGTTATACAATAAGAATGTACTGTATAACATTAGTCCACTAATAGTCCTCAGAAGTTACCTGTATTGTTTAATCTTCACTAGGATTTAACAGTTACAACTAGGGATGGTCGGTAGGATTCGATCTGCATTAAGAAGGATCTGATACATATGACATTAATCACTACCTAGTGATCAATCAATTGTAAATAATTCAGTTAATCAGTTATAAATAACGTTGAATTTGGTACAAATTTAAATCAGTTCAACGATGTATTAGTACTTGAACTGGATCATAAACTATGACATACAAAGGCAGGTAGAAATACACTTCAACCCAGTAGCTAAGTGGATAATGCGATGACGTTTGAAGCGAACTGTACTGGGTTCGAACCCCAGTGTGAACATCAACAAATCCGGGATGCAGGTACATCCAGCTATGGATTGCCAAATAAGACGAGATAGGCGTCCTGGATTCCACTGTTTATAATACTAAATCAGAAATTCACAAAATGAAACCTATTTCTATATGTTCCACCATAGTATGTTAAAGTTGTCGTTGATCACTATCCTCGTCATAGTTTGTTGTTACTCAAAGTGTAGTAGTATATGATTTCTCTATTATAGTTTTACAATCATTCATCTGTTCATTGAATACTTGGCTAGTATTCAGAAATCAGTTGATCACTTTGTAGAGATTCATTAATAACTATATGACTAATCATATTGAGTATAGGGTTTTATGAAGATTATAGATCTTGGCTAAACTATCATTTAAACTACGAAAACTCTACAATCTCAACAAATTCCATACTGATAATTATCATCTACTCACTAATAATTAGCTTCAAGGTGCGATTCATGAAGTTCTAATGAGAATCTGTGACCTGTGAAGTAGGATTATGTTAAGTATGAAATAGACAGATACCTCAGGCAATGGAATGTGGTCGTGCAATATTATGAATTGGTACCAGTTAGGTATATGCACTACAGGATACCAGGTCAGTAGCCTAAAGTCTAAATGTTTACGGGCGAAACTGAGTGTCCTGGGTTAGGACCTTCATAGAGCGATGGTGGATAATGCCCTGTTGAGGAGTCTCATTCTTAGACAAAACTATTTATTTGTTTATTTGAACACATAAATATTGTTACAAAGGGCCACCGAATGCATATGTACCACACAAATCACTTGATTTATGTGTGGGCTGTGATACAGGCCGGGTGCCCAGACCGAAGCAGGTGGTTTCCTCAAAAGGCCACACCCGAAACCTTCGGCCTAGAGGTCTGATCCACAAGGCAGTTGAGCAACGTCAGGAGATGCATTTCTATGGTAACCGGTGACCAGCAATGGGTTCATACACCATTTGTTCCCTCGGGATACTGGAGTTCATGTGCACCATTGGTTTGAAATGAGGGTTTTACAACTCCTCAAGGAGGACTCTTCGTGTCCACAAATCGAGTTAAAGCCCGTGCCGGACACTCACTTCTCGTAAAACATGAGAAGACCAAGAGGGATCATAGGAAAAGGTAACACCAAGATAACTGACCTTCGACACTGTGTTTATCAAAGAGTCTGCAATGGCACAAGCATTATGAGATCCCAACATGGTGGTTAGGTGCTATTCATATCTCATACTAAAGTTAACAGCTTGACATTTAGACAGATTAAGTATGAAACCATTAACAACAAATCATCATTCAATACAAGACAAAAACTCATTCATTTCTATGGGATGTAAAGAGGTAGAAATCGGCATACATACAACAAAATCATCTACATATTTCACAAAGGTGTTTTTTGTGGAAGATGGCAAATTATGCAGAAATATATTCTTCACTTGTAAGAATGTGCTCCATGCTTTATCAATCTTCGCCATTAAATCTGCATCTGATTCTCCTTGTTTGTCGATGATGCCTCCCAGGTATGTGAAAGATTTCACATCTTCCAGAGCTTCTTCATCAAATATGATTGACAGACATTTTCCTGTCTAAACTAGAAAACGGCCCACTGGCACAAGAGATCGATAAGTTTCTGTTCTACTGTCGATATATGGATGATACATTTATCCTTTGTACGGAACATACGGACTTGATAAGAACACTCGAGCAATTCAATACAGCTCATCCGTCCATAAAATTCACATGTGAGAAAGAAAATGGCTGTAAAATAGCCTTCCTAGATGTTCTGCTTACAAGGAGAAAAGATGGATCACTAAAAAGAAACATAAACAGGAAAAGATACTAACTTTCTCAGTTTCGTTCCTCTACAACAAGGAAAGGAACCTTATTAAGACACTACATCATAGAATCAAGACTATATACACTATGGATACGATTGAAGATGAAACAAAGACATTGTTTACAACCCTGAAAGAAAATGAATATCCGGAGAAATTTATAAATAAAAACTTAGCCAATCACAGACAGCGTAGAGAATGCCCAACGGTAAATAAAAAGCCTCTATATATACGCTTACAATTCAGAGGCGACGCACCGAGTGAAATGTTAAGAATTAAGTTAAGTAGATCAATTCAAAGGACTTTTAATGCAGCTAAACTACAACTAGTATTCTCCACACGACCAATAATCACTCCGAGGTTGAAAGATAAATTACCTAGACTAGCCACCCCTTTCTGTATCTATCAATTCAACTGCTCCTGTGGTGCAAGTTCTATTGGCAGATGTTCTAAGAACTTGTACATTCGGGCTCGTGAGCACCTACTCGTGTGGTTAAGCAAAGGTGTTGTCAAAACTGTTAACAGCTCCATCTTATACCATTTAGTCCAAACAGGACATACAGCAAACATGGAGTAATCTTTTGCAATCATCTATCGTGTCAACAGCAGTCTACCTAACTCCGTCAAACTGCGAATCCTACAGACGACTGAAGCAATTACTATTCGGATCAAAAAGCCAGAGCTTTGTATCCAAAAGAAGTATGTTCAGCCACTTCTTTTACCCTGGCCAACAAGCTAATAATCAATCTTATAATGTGATGACGTAATCTGATGAATGTTCATTTTAGGTCCCAAACTTTATTATTATTATTATTATTATTATTATCAATTTTCAGTTAGCACTTTCTCTTCTTAAATATTGACCTTGAAATTGGTTTCTTTTTAAACAGTGTCCTTGTATATTTACATAAACATTAAAACAATTTTATAAATAGTAAAAGCAGAAATGAAAAGCGCGCGCGCACACACACACTCACACACAGAGACATGAAAATAGTTTCCATGTTCAATAGGTTTGATTGTTAATCGATTTCAAGTGGAAACACATAGACGCCTTCAGTCTATTGATGTGTGTGTGTGTGTGCATGTATAGATATTCACAGTTATGTGTGATTTTTTAGTGTTCACCCTACTGGATATTGATTACTTTCTAAACCAATTATAAAATGAAAGATGGGGAAGATAGATAATTGATTGATTTTATTTATGATGTAAATATCTTGATACAAATTAACCATTTATAAGCAAAGATGGATAGTAGCTAGCAGTAGGATCCAAGACGCGAGTTTCGTCCTATTTAAGAATCGTCAGCTGGATATGCCTTCATCTCAGACTTTTTGTTGTTGTTGGTGTTGTTGTTGTTGTTTACTATGGGACTCAAACCCAATACCGTTCGCTTCAAACACCATCTCATTATCCACTTAGCTATTGAGTCCTGATAGCCACTTGCTTGTGCAATGGAGTGAAGTTGAAATTCACTTGGTGTTTGATTGAGATCATGAACCGATTGATGTTAGACCACCATTGAAAACCTGGAAGTACTGGACGACCGTTTCGTTTTAGTGCTCACTGCTGAGGAGTCCCATAATAGGACGAAACAGCCGTTCAATGCTTCAAGGTTTTCCATGGTTATCTAGCTTTAATTAACTCATGATCTCAACTATTACAAGTAAAAATTAATCTATGATTTCGAAAGTAGTGATGAAATCAAGATCAATGAGATGAGAAGAGTTGCAAGAATGATGTAGTAAACTAATGAGGCGTTTTACTAGTTATGGATTTGGCGAATCAGAGAAGAATAGAGTTTGACTTTTGGTTAATAACCCTGAGAGATTTCAGTATATCAACCTGATATTCAATGTCAAAGAGATGTTTTGAAGTCGCGTTGCCGAAAACTTTTAATTTCATTGGTCTAAGACTTTTGGAAATATGCACTTGGAATCAAACATAGGCTTTTCTTTCTGTTCCACTAATGTAACTGCTTTGGTAGGTACATATAAATTTATGTATGCAGTTGATGGCGACGTGAAAGGAATACCTATGGTTCTTTGACCGCAGTTAAGAACATATTATTTCGTTTTTGGCTGAGATCATGGATCAATTGATGTTAGACAGCCATGGAAACTCTGGAAGCACAGAACAACCGTTTCGTCCTAGTATAGGACCCCTCAGTAGTGCGCATCCACAGTCCTTCGCGCAGGATTCGGACCTAGGATCTATCGGTCTCGTGCGCTAACGCTTAGGCTCCATTCCATTGAGCCGGCATCCAACGGTGTTAATGTTTAACTTTGACCAACCCACGAAATTGCGAGACCATCTTCCATTGTCTGAGGCAGATACTTGCCTCTATCTGACACTCGTGAGACTGAAGGTTCTGTCCTATGATGAATAAGCAATCCACTGCTTCTGGATAGATCAAAATTCGTTATGAAAGAGGGCAAGAAAGAAGATAACATCATCTAAATTATTTTGAATATTAATGGTATGTTTGAACTGATATCGAATCCTTATCAAACTGCTTTAACATCCTATATTTTATTTAAAAGCACATTTATCTTATGTAACGAATTATATCTGATATTCAGTTGGATACTTATTGTTATATTGTTGATAGTAATCAGCGGAAAACTCTGAAATTTAAGCCTTATGTTAGCTGTCACATAAGATCGATGGTTCAATATGAACGTCAAGGCAGTTCTACTGTACGGAGCTGAAACTTGGAGATCTACTACAACAATCATCAAGAAGGTACAAGTATTTATAAAAATTATTGTCTACACAAGATACTCAATACCAGTTGACCGGATACCATCAGCAACAGTATAAGTGAGAACAAATTAACTACCCTCTGAGATGGAAATTTAAAAAAAAACGTTGGAAACAGATAGGACTCACATTACAGATATCACCAAACTGCATCACGAAGCAAGCCGTAATTTGAAATCCTGAAGGGAAACAAAAAAGGAGGAAGCTCAAAGAATACACTATGTTGGATATTGGAAGCAGACATGAAAATAATAAAAAATTTAATGGGAAACAACCAGAAAGGATTACCCAAGACAGAATTGAATTAAGAATGCTGTTATTCGGCCTATGCTCCTTCATGAGGGGTAACAGGCCTAAATAAGTAAGTAGTAATATTTGTTTGTTACTAGGTTGGACATATTGGAAAGACCAAAAATTTTTAACAAAACTCACACTATAACTTCCCTATAGTTTGGAGAAAATATTCTCAAGGTTGATTTCTATGCCATATAAAGAGCAGTGAACTAATATTACGTAATCGTATACAATCCCCCCCCGATAACTTATTCGTTTTTTTTTCACTTATTCTTAATCGTTACTATGTGGAGTTGTGAAAATTGTTTTCTGATGCTTAGTAGTTGCATATTCACATTACTGACGAATATCAAACTAGGACGAAATACATTTCTAAATCTTATTAGTTTTTTTTCTGATAATAATCATCTGCTCACTAGTGATTGACTTCAAGAGATACTCCTGGAGTTCTAGTGCGAAGCCGTTACCAGTGGAGTTCAACTAGGTCTGTTGTGAGATATCAACTCACTGAAGATAATGGTAATATGGTGGCGCGACTTCGTGGATTGGTTGAAGTTAGACATTAACACCGTTGGATGCCGGCTCAGTGGTCTAGTTGATTAAGCGCTTGGTGTGGGACTGGTAGGTCCTGGATTCGAATCTCGCGGGGTGCGGGATAGTGGATGCACACTGCTGAGGAGTCCCATACTAGGATGAAACGGCCGTCCAGTGCTCCCAGGTTTTCCATGGTGTTCTAGCTTCAATTGACTCATGATTTCAATCTTTTATGATTATCCAGTTAAATTCAATCTGTTATATAAACTGGTTTATTCTCATTCCACATTCACATATCTGATGATCAGTAACCAGCATAGCAACAGAAATATATCTTCTATAATATTATACTAGTTCATTATTTATTATAAAAATCAATATAATTAAGTATAAAAAGAAAGTAAGGTATCATTATCCCCTTCTATCAAATACCTATCTATGTATGGTTAATAAGAATTAGGGAAAAGAAATTTTTTTTAAATTCTTTATTATGATTGGTTAATTTCAATGAACCTATTCAATCATAAATTAAAGGAATGTGCTACACATAATGAGTGGGTGGATCAAAATATAAAAACGAATATAATAATCACTATGGCAGATAAAAACAAACAACAAAAAAAAAGAAAACCCTAATTAAACATTATTGTTATTTCGTTTCAGTCATTTTCTTGATCATCATATCATAGAGATTAAAACATAAATTATTAACATTCATTAACATGGAGCATATTAAAAAGAAAATGTTGGCAATGAAATTAGACAAAGAGAATGCTGTAGATGAGTAAGTTGCGAAGTGGGGGGAGGGTTGTTTTATTTTATTTTTTCTCTTTTTTGTGAAGGTTGTAAAGTTTTTGATTAAGATTGATAGAAGTTCAATGATCTAGATGTTAAGCGTTTTATTACACGAGACTAAAGGTTTTGAGTTCGAGTCCTGTGTGTGGAGTTGTAGATGTACACATTTGAGTCTCATACTAGAACGAAACGGTTGTACAGTGCTTTTAGATTATTAATGATGGTCTAACATCAATCGATTGATTATCTCAATCAAAATAGTAATAATTTTATATTGATGATTAGTCAAATATGGATATTTGAACGGTAGTGTTCATTTGGAGTAATTTTGTTTCATTCATTTTTGTTCAACGGATCGGGTAATGTCATGTTTATAGGCACATGAACAGGACGATTTCAAATCAATTACTATGGATATAATATCATGAACTGATTATAATTGGTTACTATTTCGATGGTAGTATAATAATCTAAAAGCCTTTAGTCTTATTCTTAATGTAGCCATTATTTATTTTACTTATTTGAACACATAAATATCGGTACAAGGAGGTACCAAATAGATATCCGCCACATAAATCATTCGATACTGCTCGTGTGCTCCAACCGACGCAGGTGTTTTTCTTAGGGAGCCACTCCTCGAGGCTTGAACCTGGAAGTTTAAACCACAAGGTAGTGGAGCGACGTAAGGAGATGTAGTCCCATTGTAGCCGGTGACCGACAATAGGTTCATACACCATTTGTTCAATCAGGATACTGGAGCCCATATGCACGATTGGTTTGGAATGAGAGTTTTTCAACTCCCCTATGTGAATCCTTCTTATCCACTAATCCGGTTAAAGCGCTGAACATTCGCTTTTTTTCCTCTTAATTTCGTAAACAATATCTGTGGTGGGAGAAGGCAGTGAATAGGACTTCCTTGACAATGGTTGCATGCATGTGTTCATCTTTGAAGAATCTCATGCTATAACAAAACGACTGTCTAGTATTATATGTCTAATTGATGTTAATCATTGATATGAACTGTTTACTGTCAGTAGCCTGTATGAGAGTGGATAGATGTGGAAGACCATAATGATGACTTTGAAGTCGTTCAGATCTGAACATTTAGAATATCAATAAGTATATATGTAGTTGAGAATAGTGATTGATGTTTTCTTATATTCTATCAAAACACATAACTGTACAGAAAGATCATTTAACTGACCATATCACTAATGATGTTCATTTTGTCAACCGTACTCTTGTATAATTTCATAGTTTATACCACTGACTAACATTGGTTAGACAATCACTGAAAACCAGTAAATGATGGACAGTTATTTCACCTTAACATGTGTTGGGATATTCAGGAAAATATCCCAAAAATTATCCTGTTAAGCCTAATGCTATCCTTGGACATGAAATGGTATCATCTTATTGGTCAATATTTATTTGACGTGTTATTTTCCTGTTGGCCATTATTGTACAATGTTATCTTCTATTTTATGGTACGTTGTGGACTGCTTGAATGGTATATAAACAAAGCATGTTTGAAATATAATGATTCATACATCCGAGGCTGAAACTTGCGTTCTGGACTTAACTGGCTGGGCTATACAGGGAAGCGAGACCAATCAGAACCCTAGGTCGTTCTACGTGTTTGCGCGTCTTTGGTCCGATCAATAATTCGCTATCCCTTAAGCAGCATTTATTATTTTTTCACGTTATAACAACATGGCAATGCTCAGTCAAACTACACATCCACGAACCCAAAGGAAATTGAATCGAAGTTTTACTGATCTGATCACTAGAGTCGAATCTTTACACTATTGAATCCGCATCCATATACTTATATGTCTAACTTCTCATAATAAATATCTTGATAGTATGGTACTGAAGATTTTGTAGTCTGTATAGATGAATTAATTTCACCTAAGGATAGGTAGTGAGTCTTCAGGTAGAAGTCTATAGTCAGATAGAAGTTTTTTCTGATGATGTTGTTCAGAAGAACAATAAAAGCTCTACAGCCAAACCATCCATCTCAGAAAACAAAACCCCATCAAAATCATCCACCTGAGCTACAAATCTTCTCCACCATCTCATAACTAACTACTTGGTTGGAGTCCACGTGACTATCTTAACCAATGTTTGGAGACTCTGGCGCAGGTATATACACTCTATCTTGCTTTCTACCAACCAATTCTTTCTCCTTGTATCATATCCCTCTATGAAATCAAAGCAAATAATTCATATAACCAGAGTGTAATCCATCTGAAGAGTGTAGATTTATGTGTATGGCTTAAAGCTACCTCTTATCAAATTAAGAGACAATGGGTACCATATTGATGTTTAAAATGGAGTAGGCTTGAAATCCAAAGATAGTTGGTTAGAAATCAAATGTTGCTAGTGTAATGAACGAAGACTTGGGTAGAATAAATCAACCCGTATATTCAGAAAAATCCCACACTGTATTTTTAATCTATGAAAAAATTCACTTAATACACCGTTTGCATATCTTCTTTGAATTGTCTATAACAAGTCCTATCGTTCTTGCATTCCCGTTACTACTTAGACTGCTTTTAAATTTTCTTTCTCTTCTCCTCACCTTCTTCTTTTGTCAATAAAAATTATATCCCCTTAATTCCTGACACATACTACTTATATCTATCCGTGTAAGTAGCACACACCATGTAAAAATGACAATTTAATAATGATTAAGAGTTGACTAGATCTAATTTTACAAGGTGATAACAAATAAGTATTATCAACCCTTTTCTATGAACTTTACCGTTTCGTCCTAGTACCTGACTCCTCAGAAGTGCGCATTCACAACTCCGCATGTGGGAATCGAATCCAGGACCTTCAGTCTCGTGCACACTCACCCTTAACCTCTAGACCATTGAGCTGACATCTAACGGTGTTAATGTCTAAACTCAACCAATCCACGAAATTGTGCTAACGTCCACCATTGTCTTCAGTGATTTACTATCTTACAACATCGTACGCTCAATAGCGACTGGCTTCAAGAGGTATTTCCTGGAGTTCTAGTGACCAGTGAAGTTCATCCGGGTCTGTCGTGAGATAGTATCTCACTGAAGACAATGGTGGACGGTGGCGCAGTATTATGGATTCGTTAAATTTAGACATTAACATCGTTAGGTGCCGGCTCAATTGTCTAGAGGTTAAGCGTTAGCGTGCGAAACTGAATGTCCTGCGTTAAGATCCTGCGAGACGGGATCGTGGATACTCATTGCTGAGGAGACTCATAATGGGACGAAACGGTTGTCCAGTACCTCCAGGTTTTTCATGGTATTCTAGCCTCAACTGACTCATGAATTTAACTATAATCAAATAAGCATTCGATTTCAAGTTATCACTTTGATAGAGTTTTGTTCTCTGAGCTGGATAGTTTTGGTTCAGCCGTAAACAAAACTTCATCAAAATCATTCACCTGAACAACAAATCTTCACCATCTCACATTATTACTAAATATTAGCTGTTTAAAAATGTTCAGCGAGTAAATTGTACTTTCCCTCATGACTTAACATAAATCTATATTGATCTAAGTTGTTTTGTTTTATATCAACATAACGAGTGAGGAAACTGATAAGACACATGTCAAACGAGTCAAAATAATAGTAGTATCAATGACAATGCGAAAAAACCCATCGGAAAACCTAGAAAAGGAATAAAAATACTCAATATTTGTAATAAGATGAGGAATAAATGTATCTATGGTGTTGTTGTAGTAAAAGAGGATAAAATTGTGAACAATCGAATGTATTTGAAGATAACATTAAAGAATGTCTTAGTAAAATTTGAGAACTATACAGGAAATACTTCATTTGCAAAATGTCAATTAATCGTCTCAGACTTCATTGTTCCTTCATTCACACATCAATCATTCTATGTTCTCGTTCTCTTCTTTTCGATCTTCTTAACTTTATGTCGCCAGGCATTTCACTTTCGATTAATTATACATATTACTTATATCTGTCGACATCAATAGCATACGCCATATTGTGAGTGATTTTCAACCGTGTTGTTTTAGTGGCCCGAGATCTGACTCCAATAAGATTGTATGAATGATTGCTGTAGAAATGTATATGTCGCCTATTCTCGTATATAATCATCGATTTTAATCCCATTAGTCAATAACGGATTTAGATAAGTCGAATAACGAGAATGGACTTTTGAATATATATATATATATATATATATATATATATATATATATATATATATATATATATATATATATATATATTGTGTATGAAGCGAATGGAATAGAGCGAAGCGAAATGACGCGCAGTGGAGATGGCGGGTAAGCCAACTCTATTTTGGTCATGCCCTAATCAATATTCATAGTCACACAAAAATAGGCTACAAACATGTGATAAATAGGATTAAAAAACGTACACACACATGTGTGCTCATATAAAAACAATGAAGATTGATAAGCGAATAACTAATAAGATCAAAATATGACTCAAATAGAACGAGTAGATAGGCCTATTCGAAAGCCAGAATAAGGTATATGGGCTTAACATAATAACCCACACTATATTAACACATAAAGTCTTCAATTATCGATTTTCATTATTTCATTGACTTTAGCAAGGAAGTTTCTATTGGTTGCTTTTTTAATTTTAAACAATGTATTTAACTTCAATATTGGCTACTTCCCTTGACTGATACATCATGGTGACAACTTTATAACTCTGTAAAAGTCATAAGAGAATAATTAATCTTCGTTTGTTTAGTTGTGTTCAGTTACTTGTTGCGTAATTTACCATTCCTTTTGCAAGCAATGATGGATAGTGGAAAGCGGTAGAATCCAGGACGCGCGTTTCGTCCTATTTGGTACTCGTCAGCTGGATGTACCTGAATCTCAGAGTTGATGTTCACTCTGAAACTCGAACCCAGTACCATTCGCTGCAAACGCCATCGCGTTATCCACTCAGCTACTGAGTACTGATACCCACTTGCTTGTGCAATATTGTGGTTGTTTGAAAAATGCACATTTTGAAGTTAATCATAACCTGTGGAATTCAACCACATCGTGGTCAATATATTTAGGCGAGACTATATTTTATGAGTGAATCAATCAGATTAAGGATGACAGGTCTCGGATTTTGGAGCGAAATTCATCCACACAGTTGTAAAAAATAGCGTCCTGGCATTTTGGCTAATGTAATGAGAACCATAAATCTAATTCCCAATCTTAACCATCAACTATCAGTCCCAACCCTTAACCTTCGTAATGCTTTATAACCATCATTTAACCCTAGTAAGTAGGGGGATATTCCTAAGGTCACTCTAGCGTCACTCTAAGGTCGTTCATAAATTATAGTCTCACCGATATTTAGTTATCTACTGATTACGTTGTACTGTTATCAAACTGACTGAGATCCTATAACGCTATTAAACTAACCTCGGAACTTAGTGATCTATGAGTAAGTCCTATGTATAATTAGGGATCTAGACGTTTAAATGATCGTAAAGTTAAATGAAATGGTTATCCATTATGCCATCATTCTCAAAAAATTATTGTTTGTTGTTTCCTCAATCAAACTACCTTTATCATTTTTTGATAATGTTTATAACAGGGCTGATCAGCTAGAGGCAAAATTACGTGAAAAAGAATTAGAAATGCAAACTAAAGATGAAGAAGCTGCAGAAGTGATCAAAAAAATTCAACAAGTTGACACTGACAAAGAAACCGCACAAACTCAATTGGCTGAAACTAACACTAAATTAGAAGAAACAGACAAACGAGCAACTGAGGTAAGTCACTATGAATCCTTCTTTAATCGTTATTACCAAATCAACAATTCACGCATTCAAAAATACCGCCATTTATTTGAGTTTGTTTAAATGATGTGGCTTATATGTGGTTTTTAGTCAAAGTTCAATGGCTTTATTGCTATACGAGTTATTCATATTTCATACATATACATCATGAAAAGTTATTTCACTCCCGACAAGATCAAACTCCATTAGTCACGATTTTCTATTAGAATATTGGTAATCACGCTTCAAGATGGTTGGTAAAGTGAACAGGATTGTTTTTTGATTTGGAGGTTTCTAAGGGCTGTTTACAATTTAGAGATAATTCGCTTTTTGCTGAGGAGGGAGACAGTAATTTATGAATGTTCTTTTAGAAACGCCAAAATTCATCTACTTATCATGGTCAGCTTAATTGACAGAAAGGCTGTTTAATCATAATGATGAGTGAATTTCATGCCAAAATCTATTATACGCTATCTCTAATTCTGTTGGTTCGTCCATAAATCATAGTGTCGCCCTTACGAACTCTTAACGGATATTTGTTTCTTTAAATTGTCATAAGAAATTCTTTAGTATCTTTACTTCAACATTTCACTTCATCTAGTTGATCGATGCATAGGGACTCTCAAAAATATTTCTACGCTTCATAGTCCGCTGATCCATTATTTAGAGTTATTGTGTGTAGTAAGAGTCCTAAATAGATATCCTTTGGTATTCTTACTGATAGCGATTTGAAAGTGAATATCTCTATTTGAGTAACTGTGACATTCGCAATGTCATACTTGTATCATGAATATGCATAATGTAGTGTTCAAAAGGAATAAAAGTAACAGATTTTTTAAAGTCAGTGGGCAACACAATAATTTTTCATTCATTATTGCTTGTTAACGTCTTTACAGTAGACAAGTCTTAGTAGAGATGATCTGAATTTTTAGCAATCATTTTCAATTATTATACCAAGGTATCTTTCTGAATAACTAGTATATACTTGAATAAATAAATGTCATGATGTTTCATGCCAGTCGCTGACTCAGAGTAGTCATGTTATAGAAATAAAACAATTGAATGCACCTTCGAATGATTCGAAAGAAAAACTTTCAGTTTCTAACGTTCAGTTCAAGTTCACTTTTAGCTTCTGCTGTTAGTACTTGCTTATTTTTAAACGCACAACCTAAGATGAAACTAGAGGCTATTCTGCCTCATAACTACCGAGGTGGGATTGATGCTATGAAATTTTAACTCAATAAATAGTGGTGTAAGTGCCGAGTAGATAACAAACAATTTCACATCTTCACTGAGGATAGACGTTTTTTTAGTAAACTCCTGAGTAAATATCTCTGGACCATTTCTCCACATCTTTTTATGTTTCTGATATGAATCTTATTATCGGTGTACATTCAACAAGTCTATCTGGATCCTCCTGTAGAACTAAAATAATTCAGCTTTGGTCTAAAAACATTTTATTACGAACACACTGCGTATGTTATCAGGTAACCATGTCTTCATTGTTTGTCAAAAGAAATAACGGCTGGGGTAACTAAAGGTTACACCTCAGAATTGTGGTCATGTAAGACGCCATAAAGAACAACCAACAATGATAGAGACCGGTCATGACCTTTTTCATCGTCACTTTTAAATACCACTTAAAACAGGAGACAATGGTTTTTCTTAGATTAACACAAGCACCTACATTGTTTTACGTAAGTCCACTGAGTTATCTTTGACGCCGGTTTCTCCACTCTGCCAGTCACAGAGTTAGGAATGGGGTTAGTCTGCGGAATACATCAGCAATCTCTTTGCCAGTTAGACAATGTGCTGTACTGCATTGAAAGCCTTGGGAAGAACGCAAGATAACTCATGAACAGTTGCTTTCTAACCCCAGAAGAATATTTCACTGTGTGGTACTAACATAATGGTTGTAAAACAAGAATAGCCTTTATGAATGAACTTTTTGTCTCATGAGGGATTTTTCTGAGGTATTACGTTAACCCTACTGTTTCACATAAAAGAGAAGATTTTATCCATATTTCTTGTCAGGACATGAACTGAAGACTTGAGATATGTCAAGGCAACAACAAGAGCTCCTTTATATATGCTCCCTCCCGTACTATAAATAAATGCTTGACTTGTGGTTCACCTCGATGTTTATGACGATCTCTGATTCAGGAAACCGTTTTTTATTCCCACATTTTGATGCTAAACCTGTTTGTTAACATCATATATTCACCAAGCGCTATGTTCGTCAATAAATTGAAACGTATTTTTCTGAAAAAACAACCTTATCTGCTTACTTCCGCACTGTCGCCGCTTTCCATGCGCAACAACTCAGATCCCACAATTGTTTGGTGATTCAGCTCTTTTGCAGCCTTAGTCATCTGACTTACTACCAAAGCTCTATACTTCTAAGGTTAAAAATGTAAAATCTCTGCTATTTGAAAATACATATGGAATGGTCCATAGTTTTTCGTCTTCTTCAGCACTCACCCGGAAAAATACAGAGTGGCCGCTTCTAATAATTGTTACGGTAACATGCGATTTACATGGATATCCCTAGATCTGCACTATGGGTTGAAAGGCTATTTATATAAATGAGAACAACTTGTAGTATTTTAGACACTGTTATCATGCCAAACAAGAAAATTCGTTTCCAATAAGTATATCCGGACGAGCTTTTGTCACTTACTTTGAAGCTAACGTACGAGCCCATTAAGGGATTCAGACATTTTGGTCTGTCTCAAAAACAAATAAAGTTAGGTATGCGTTTCTGCGCCGCTTTTGCCGTATTTCCGGATGTAAGCCAGATTGTTTGTCATTAAAGTGTCCATACAAGTGATGAAGCTAATTTACAACAACTAAATATATTTGAGTAAAACGATAAGTGTTATAACCATGACCTGTGATAATGCATGATCATAATGGCATCATCTGTACATATTTTAAACGGCTGAGTGAACTAATCAGATCACAAATGAAGAACTACGTTGCAAGCTGGTGGTAATTGAGGTGATATGTAGCGGTCCACGTTTAAGACGCCACAGATATCCTACGTTTGATAACGCTTTTGTCCGTAACACATTTATACTTCAAGGGTATCAGACCAGCCAGATCAGAGGTTAGGGATGAATGACTTCGGAGATATTTTAGTACAGTTGTCGTTATGTTGAGAAGTGTTCCATCCAAGCTAGCTAGCAGTTGTGAGGGATGGGTAGCGCGACGTGCCCACTCGTGATCTGGTGTGGATACGTGACCGAACGCCTCCAGCTAGGGCGTGTTCAGCAAAACTAATGACGTCATTGTCAAAGACTTACAGGAATATGTATTTCGGGTAGTTATTTGCAGCTACAACGTTTTGTCAGAAGTAACTTTGTGTACTAGGAGAGCATGGAGTGTGGAGTGAGCGGGGAGAACTGATAACCCATCAAGTACACAAAATGCACTTACATTTAATGGGAGACGCAATAGACAACAATCAGCAGTAACGCGAGCCCCAGACTATGACCATCCCTTTTTCCATTCCACTTTGATTGATAACATATAATGTGAGTAGCACTCGAAGCCTCATTCTTTTCTGGGTAACGTAAATGTCGAGTGCTTCTGGAATTACTTGAAAACGCTTTTTAAACTTGTTTACAGAAAGTCAAGGTCAAATAATTCCAGATATATTGCCTCGAACACTGAGACTATTTTCCGGAAATATATGGTTGTTACAGTACTATAGTACCTTATTATCACAGTAACAAAACGACTGATTATAACACTTTCTCGCATATCTCACCAATGTAGAACAATCAAAATCATTCAGAGAATGTTTCGGATGTAATTGAATCCACCAAATTCACCCCACGAGTTTCATTTTACAATACATCTCGAGAGTCTAATGAGCACACCTGGGACGGCTCAATTGTGAAGAGTCAGGTTCATAAGATTAAGCACTTAATACACAAAGGAGTAAGAAGAAGGAATCAAGACAACTCAAGAATAAAGGAAGAGCCAAAAAGGATAAAAAGTTTTTTAACGCTACTTTCTTATGACTGGAGATTCGGCTACCAAAATCGACTGTCGGATGTAATAGAATCTGGAGTACATCCAGTGGAATTACTCGGACCAAGGTTAGAACCTGAGGGTGAAGACCAGGCGACTTTAGAGAGCTATTCAGAGTGCAGGAATTTATTATACGAAGGGACGGATGAACCGTTATTTTCCGATTATGGGAGCGAAAGTGACGATGAAGACGAATACATTAAACGGAGACGCTGCTCGAAGTTCATCGATGACAACTCTGCTATGGAAGAAGCTTTATCAGCCGTTTATCTTAATTCCGGAACCCTCATAAAGATGGCAATCATTGGTGTTGAGCTGCAAAATGTTATCAAAGTTTCCTTACGAAAGGTGAGGATACTTTATTTACACCGATATTTTAACCGCCGTGTTTGGTTTTTATTGCACATTTTGGTCATAAGATATATTCGGAATATTTTAACTTAAGAATGTCCAGTCCTGTTATCGGTGCTGTAAAGTCTAAAATGCAAGGAATGAAGCTTCAAATTGACCAGCTTAAGCAAGAGTTATCTACTAAACAAGCTATTTTAAGGAAGGAGGAAGAAAATAAAACCAAGGTATATAGATTTTAAGACCTACTATATTTACATGGAGTCGAACAACTTCTTTATTTGTTTTGTTTATTGATTTTAGGCTGAAGCTGAAGTCGCCTCACTACAGAAGAGAATTCGACAGCTTGAAGATGAATTGGAATCTACCGAGACTCGACTTCAAGAAGCTACTGTTAAGCTCGAAGAAGCGAGTAAAGCTGCTGATGAAAGTGATCGGTTAGTTTATGATACTCAAAAATAACTTTAATCAATCATAATCACGTGTCCTTCGTTGTGTTCACCCTTGCAATCTTGTTTATAAATGCTTATGACGAACTGGTCAGTTTGATGGTTCCGGAGATTGTTGTTCCGTTAAAACATATGGTGAATTGTGAAGTTGCTCGTAATTCGGAAACATATCTTCACGACTTTCTTGAGATTTGTTTCTGATTGTCATATTTCATGACCAAGTATTTAGTGCAGTCCAGATTTCTAGTATGGTAGCGCAATCTCTTACACAAATTGGTTTTCGTTAAGAATTGAAAGCATATTTTAACACATTTTAGGTATTCTCACACATTGCGGAAATACAGTCTTTCCTTAGTCTTATAGCGGATTCAAGACCAGGCTTAAGAGCAGGAAAATGTTTGTTGGATATAAAACTATGGCAAAACTGGATAAACTATTCTTAACTCCGTAAACCTAGGAATTAGTGGCTCCGGTTTCACAAAAGGATGTCTACCTGGCAATTAGATTAAAACATCACTGACAGCCTACTAGTTTAGAAGACCCTCTCAATGTACATTGCTCGAATTAGAACTGATATTGACTTTTAGGTTAAACTTGAAAGCATCTGGGTGGACAATTGTACTTGTTGCTGAGCAATCGAAAAGGTCGTGCTGTTTACTTGTATCTGATAAATCTAATGTTTTTAGAACCTGCATCGGTAACGTCCAGCGTATTTTGTATCAAATTCTTTGGTTTCCAATACTAAAACATTTCGTGATTGTAGGTGATAATACAGACTTAATACAATCAACTATCTTCATGTATGCTCTTATGGTTTTGCTTGTTAATAGGGCTTACTGCTAGTATGGCTCATTTTGTGGAGACTAAAACAGTATTTGAAAAATTCCTGTTTTCCCTGTCGTTTGGAAATTGAAACCAATGGGCTTATTTGACTCAAGATTGTATTTCCAATGGAGATCCTAATCACATAGTTTTGGTGATTGTATGTTGCAGACTGTCTATTCGTCCAAGTGTATCTCGTTAGTCTGTTGATATGAATGTAAAGCTCCGCATTAGTGCTATTCCTATGGGTTTACAAATATTCATCGTATTTCTTATCTAATGTCATCAAGTTTAAGATGCGTTTTTCTGTCTAAATTGCGAATGCTAATTCAGAACTAGTCTACTTTATCGCTTTGATTGATCGTAGAGCGAAGTTAAATGCATTGACCAGTCTATTTACCTCTGAGGTCTTATCAGCGCTAGTTAGTGTTTGACTTCAAAACAGGTTCAGAAATCCTGCTTGGTCATAGACGTTAAGTGAAATAGCTCATAATCAACATAATAACACAACTGCATTCATTCGTTTTTTTCAGTCTAAGTATTGATTCTCAATATCTTTTCAAACATACCTTTTCATTCTGTCTTTTCGGAAAATAGCAACGTTAGATCATCCTGATTCTCATTACTATTAAATTATTTCGACTTCTTTCATCTCGTGCCACTATAGCAACTTAGAATGACACGCTTGTCTTAGGCTCTGCCTTAATTACAGTCGACTGATATCTCACTCGGTGATATAATGTAGGTGGATAACCTTAACAGTTATAGTTTACTTAGGAATAACATTTAGTTACATAACAAACTTAAAAAAGATGAGTTCATTTCAGCCCTTTTTATATCCTCCACAAAACATCATGCTGATGTTTCGAATATGAGGGTCTTGAAAGTAGTTCATTCAGTATTTAGCTCGGGGATTTCTCACAGATTCGAGTTTTCAACCAATCGAACACTCATTGAAAATCATTTATTAGAAATATCTGAATTTCATACTTTCCGTTTAGTGTGACAACTAAAGGGATGAATCAGTGTTTTGCTTAACTACGTCAAATTCATACTACTAAGTAAGCGTCGTCACACTCTCAGTCGTAAAGTAGTCAACACTTTCTCTTTATTCAAGTGAATTGATTTATGGATGACAACATTGTTCCCCATTTTGATCGATTTTGTTTGATTATGTTTTGTCATTGACACTATATATTCATAATCTTAGTGCTCGTCGGGTGCTTGAGGCCCGCCAGACTGCGGAAGACGAGCGGATTTTACATTTGGAATCTGTGGTACAAGAAACTGCAAAATCTGTGAGAGATGCAGAAACGAAATATGAGGAGGTATTGTATTACATTAAAAAATATTTTTTTTAATAAACATTAATACATATTGACTGTTTGGTTGTATTGTTTCTAAAACCAATTCAGAGGAAACTTTCTCAAACTTTGTATTAATAACAAAGTATTATGAAAACATTTAATTCCTTTATATATGTTTCATAGTGGTCGTAAAGTATTGGAGAATCGTACTTTCGCAGATGAAGAACGTATCAATCAGTTAGAAGAACAATTAAAAGAATCTACATTTATGGCTGAAGATGCTGATCGAAAATACGATGAGGTGCATTTCTAACTAAAGCTAATGCATTCAATGTCGTATAAGAATGAGTTTCAGTGCATGCCGTATTGTATCTGTGTTTACAAAAACTGTTAGAATAGTTTAGATAGTGATTGATTGTTATTTCTACCAATTTTGCATGCCTTGTTATTCAAATAAGTTTAGATGGAACTCAAAACATGGTACATTTAGAAATTTTTTCAAGCATTTACAAAGATAATTATAGTAGTCAATATGGCAAGACTATGGTTTATGGACAACCTTCGACTTATTCTAAAGTGACCTTAGGAAATTTCAATCACTTCATTGGTTCAAAATAGGGTTGTACATTAGTGTAAGGAACTAGGATTAGGAGTTTTTCATGACGAACTGACATAAGCTATAACGCCGAAATGCTATTTAGCCATATGGATAAATAAATTACACAACAAAATCCAGGAGTTACTGTCTTAAATCCGATTGGTTCGTCCATAAATTATAGTCTTGCCATTTTGATAGTAAAATTTGTGAATCCACTCCATCAGGTTCATTTGATGTATTACAACTGCATGCTGTATTTTACATATTGCTTTAAGTAGCCGTTATTCGCTAAATGCATTGTTTATCTCATTTGTACAATTGTATAAATTGTATCATGAGGTTGTACAATTGGTGATTATGCGGTTTGCTGGTTCTACACTTCCCCCTCCTTCTAATGAAAATACATATTTCAATACTTGATAACGTTTAGTTTGCGTGATATCATTCAGTTTTCAATCGATTGTTAACGAAAATTCAACTTCATCAGTGGATTTTCAAAGTACATTGTCGAGATATGATGAAAACGTGTTATTCAATCAGTTAACATCTAACACATAGTCGGCTATTTATATCTAGTGTGTATACATACTATGAGTCAGTGTCTGTAACACAACTGCAGGCAGATTTTCAGGCCAAGAGTGAAATGTCGCATCATATGGTTTTATAGTCGTCAGCTTATGAAATTGTCAGTCCCTTTTGTTTTGTTTTATTTTTACAGTCCTATAAAACCTTTAATTATTACTTATATATCACGTCATCTTATCGTGTTGTGGTAACTTAATATTATATATGATTTTATAGCAAACAAAATTAAAATGCATAAACCTAACTTGTTGTATATGTAGGCGGCTCGTAAGCTGGCTATCACGGAAGTGGAACTCGAACGGGCTGAGTCTCGATTGGAAGCTGCCGAAAGGTAGTAATTCCTTCCTACTCCTACTATTAATACTACTATTACATTTGATCATGCACCAATGTTGATCGTATGTTCTTTGTGTGTGTATATGTAGCATGTTAATTTCCACTTGATGCCCACTTGTTTTATAATTTTCTCTCAATTCTGTCTGTTTTTGGTGTTGTATACACTTTATTATAATTGATTCAAGGCATGTACAAGTGCAAAACTGAACATTATTTTCGTGCTTTTAAATTTACATGGCTTGGATTTATTTTTCGCTGATTGTCGTGCATCTCTTCTATCTATTGCTGTGTTAATTCGTTTGCTTGACCTATATGTTCGGCTGTCATTCGCAGGCCACTCGAAAACTTGCCGTTGCCGAAGTCGCACTGTCTCACGCGGAAGATCGGATTGAAGCTGCAGAAAGGTACTTCTTCTTAGATTTACTGGTGAAACTGGTGATTTACATCCGGTATTGCACCATATCTGTAGTCTAGTTCGATTGTATGTGATGTTAAATGTGGGATCTTTTTTTCCCACTAAAAAATACTAGCCATTTGTCCTCAAGAACAACATTAAACGAAACTGCACTTAACTTACTAAATAGTTTTACCATTATCATTAGTGTTTTTCATGTTATGGAAAGACCTGGTAGATATGTCGGTTATGCATGTTGTCTCTTTGAAAACTTCAATTCTCATCGTATGAATAGTAATTTTGTGAAATAGAGAAAAAAATGGGAGTAATTAGTTTCTTATTGGTCACTTACTATATTAGTCAGTTGGTTTGTGTGGTGTGACAGTTGCACAAGCTTTTAACTATCTAATTAGTTCATTGAATGTATATTACAACAGTCAATATTGTAATCGCATTGTGTTATTTTGTTTAGTTTACTGCATTACTTATTGCTTGAATTGATTTTATTTCATATAGCATATATTCCCCACCCTACTCCCTAGTATGTAGCCGTCATTATCGTAGTCTAGTGTAATATACAATCAACTCATCCACTACATACTTTAATATCAGCTTGGTAACTGAAAGTTGAGTACTAAGTTACCGCTCCTTATTTTAGGGAATATTTGATAGAGTAAGGTTGTTCATAAGAATTATACACTCATTCTGCTAAAAAACAATGATTAGTCTTTGACTAAAGTATCGGATTACAGACGGGAACTTTTAATTTTGAACAACTCTCAGTATCTCTTAAATTATATCTAGAAAGTGTTCCCAAATATACTATAGGTTTACTTTGACCATTTAAGATTAACCATAGTGATTATACATTACGTTTTTTTTTGGAGTAACTCTGATCTACTTTTCTTCCTTTGATTTCTCTTGTTCATGCATGATTTTAACATGATGTGCTATGGTGTTATCAAATCATTTCACTGCATCATTTTGCATGCATTTCTAATTATAGTCGTTTAAAGGAGCTTCAATCAATTATTCACGGTACAATGGGTCAGTTAAAATCTTTAGAGCATCAAGAATCTCAGGTTTGTAAACTAAGCATTATTTATATAAAACATATGTAATATTGACTAATACAGGGTATATTTCTTCGATCTCATCAATAGTAATAATACTAAGGTACTTATAGTGACTATATTGAGGAATTTAATGGAGAGTAAACTGAAATGATTAGATAACAACCAGTAACTAACACATAGACCATGATAATAACAACAATTCGTATTGTTGTAACGTATGCATGGTTATGAAGGTTTGTCGCATGATTTAATTCGTGAATATTATCATGTAATCTTTTCTCGTCATCTAATTTCTACTATCAGGATTGCATGATTTATCACTGACTGCCTGTTTATTTCCTGCTATCCCTGAATGCTTTATACCACTTCGTTGTGTGTCTACAAAATGAAAAACTGCATAGTGTTTCTAAGTTAATTTATTATAATCTGTTTATAGTAAAATTACAGAACTCGAAGAAGAGTTACGCATTGTTGGTAATAATGTAAAATCTTTGGAGATATCTGAACAAGAGGTATTTCTATTATTTTGTAGATTCTATATTTATATATATTTGCATATCATATATGCAACTGATCAACCAGTGTGTAGTGATCAATATCTTGTTTGTGTAGTCTTTTTATTGCTGATCGAAGTTACAATGTGATCACTATTCTAAGTGAATCGACATTACTTGCACCATGTTAAATGGTTGGAGGTAAAGTATCGCTTTCGCTGTTTCATTCTAATGCACAACTTTTATATACTATCAAGCTGAAAAAAGATGGATAGCTTTCCGAAAAGAAAAATACAACTGACGAAATCATTCTTTACCATCTTTCAATTTTTTTAGCTATTGAAAAACCAGTTTTGTGCATTCACTCACGAGATTGAAGGTTGTAGGCCTGACTCACGGTCGTGGGGTTGTGGATGACTCACTAGCGAGGAGGTTCATATGAGACGGTGGAACAACTGTCCAGTGCTTTCAGCTTTACAATGATTGTCTAACTTGGATCAATTCATGATTTCAATGAAATTCAACTATCTCCACAACCCTATACTAATTATCAGAATATGTAGATTTACAAGTCTAGATATCTGTCTATGTAAATAGCTCACCATACACACATATACATCTGATCCATTTTAAACTGTTCACTTTCAACATATCTGGGAGCCCACAGTGAACCATCATGCTTTAGATGTATTTTAACTGAATAATTTTGAATATTAACTATATGTGTGCTTACTTATACATCATTATTATTATTATGAAAATTTTTTCTTTACCAATTAAGTACGTTTGAATAATTTTCTGGTTAGCGTTTTCCAGTCAGTTATTCTTCTACGGGATGGGGTCGCTAACCTCATGCCCAACCCTTCTCCTTTATCCGGGCTTGGAACCGGTAGTAGCCCCAGAGGGACTCCAGGCGAAGTTATTAAGTACATTAGAAAATGAAAATTTTAACATTCAAAATTTCTTAGAAAAATTAGTACTGATTACATCTCATTGTGGTCTACACTTTTTCCCCAGCCAAATCCTACAAAATATTTCAATATGGAGAAGATTTGTAGCTGAAGTGAATGATTTTGATGAAGTTTTCTCTTAGCTGAATAGTTTGATCACAGAGCTTTCATTGTTGTTTTGGTCAACGACATTAGCACAAACTTCAGGTAGAAGTAAAGTGTTCTGATGTGTCTTAGATGAACACTGAAATGCTGTGGATAGATTCGTGCCAAATCTTGGTTGCTATTACTCCATCAGGTGTCATACATCCGACATGGGGGTGGTGGTGAGTAGTCGTTGCTCGAACGCCTACACTAAAGCTCAATAGGTTTAATGTGTTATTCAATACTAACAACTATCACATTACTGGATATTCTCTGTCTTGATACCTAAAATAAGGGTCGAAAATCATGTGACATCAATGGTAATATTAAGAATGATATACCTAAATTGTGGACACTTAAAATTAATGAGACGTCAGTTATGTTACACGCCATTTTATTCCCTTATTTTAGTCTAACATTGTATTTGCCTACATTGGACTGGTCATATTTATATTCTAGGCAGCCCAACGTGAAGAGGCATATGAAGAGAATATTCGTGATTTAACTGAGCGCTTAAAAGCTGTAAGCTAAGCATGCTCAGACACCCCCATTTTTTTCTAATACCCAACTTGTGTTTGTGTGTAAAAGTTGCATGGGGGAATTGACACTTGAAATATTATTGTTATTATTTAAATAATCATGTTTATTCTGATATCTATTTTTCCCCATGTTTTTTGTGTTAAATGCATGTTTTCTTGGATTGGATATTGAATTCGCATGTTCTCAAATACTGTTTTTTGGGGGGATGGGGTGGGATACATTCCATTTAGTTAAATAAACAACGTAGTCTTCATCAATCTCAACTTGCCTCTTTATCAAAACAATTGATTGAGGTATTTTAGTTTTTTTTCTATTTTCTTGTTTTATTTTATTTGTAAAGTGATTGAATTTTCCCAGTGCTTGCTGTTAAGAGCTACAAGTACTTCCAGCTGATAAATCTCAAATAGGATTTAATGTGTATCCTGACTTCCACTACTAGTTGCTATTGAATTGTGCTTAAAACTGCTCGTTACTCTATTATAATTATATAGTTGGTGCTAACACAGTTGGTTAACTAGCCAGTTGCTAACAGTGTCGTAGAATCATCTTGCATAATTGTGTATTTATTTATTTTAACACATAGATATTGGTGCAAGGAGGCATCAAATACATATGCGCCACACAGATCCCATTTGATATGTATGAGGGCTGTGATACTGCCCGGGTGCCAAAACCGAAGCAGGTGGTTTTCTTAGGGGGCCACACCCAGAGCCTTCGACCTGAAGGTCTGATCCACAAGGCTGTGGAGCAACGACAGTAGATGCAGTCCCATTGTAGCCGGTGACCAACGATTAGTTCATACGCCATTTTTTCCTTCAGGATACTGGAGTCCATATGCACCATTGGTTTGGAATCAGGGTTTTCCAACTCTCCTAGGTGGATTCTCCATGTCCACAAACCCGGTTAAAGCTCTGGACGTTCGCTTTTCGTCCTCTCAATTTCGTAAGCAACATTAATAGCACGAGAAGGCAGTGAGTAGGACTTCCCTTGGAGTGTCTGTGTACGCGTGTCTATGTGAGAGCACTTCGAGAGGGAGAGCAGACTCTCCTTACTCTTGGTCGTACCAGGGCATTTGGGGGCCATTGTGCAAGTGGAAATGAACTTGATGCATGGTCAAATTCTAATTATATAATTTAAGGTATCTAATCGTTAAGTGTGGTTATCTCACAGACTTCCAAACAAAATATTTTAACATTTAAGCACATGATTCAGTCACTTTTTGAACAAACATTATTTTCCAAATTATTAATGTGTTTATTAGCGTTGCATGTTGGGGTATGTTGTATATAAAGGGGTATAATCACATGTCTTCGTCATTTGATTAGGTGGAAGTCTACCGATTTACCATCTCTTACTAGTGTAACCTTACACTTAATCTTAATATGGCTCATTTGGTGGTTCCATCATACAACGATGCTTCGAAGAAATTTATGTTCAAATACTAGCAAACTATGCTTATTTTGAACTTGTCAGACCATATGGTATGGCAGCTTTGGCTAATGTATATCCATTCTTGATCGCTGGCTGATTATGACTGACTGTTTAAAAGCCGTGAAATAATACACAGTGAACTATTGTGAAGTTAACTACCCATTTGATAGAAATATACATGGATGTCTTGACTGTTCTATATGTAGTGAAATGATTCAGTTTGGCCACCATTAGCTTTTTTCTTTCTACTTCTATGAATTTGATGTTCATCTTGTGCTGATGAGGTGTGGTAACCGATGCATATATGTGCCTGGTCCTACGTTGTAGCTGACTGACTGACTGAACTTTCTTCCAGCCTACTCCTATACCAGACAATATCACTCATCGAAGTAAGATGTGGATGGGCATACGTAACATATGTTGCAACCATCTCAGTTAATGAAGATTTACTACCTCATCAATCGAATTGCCACTCTTACTTAGTACCCTTTCCCTAACCCAGACATTGTTTACTCCGTGATCCAAAAATACATGAGGAGTGTTTTGAAGGCACCTATGATTAAATGCTAGTAACCCAAGTATATGCTTTATTTTTAATGGCCATGTTTCATATTAATTAAGTAGGACGAAGGAAACTGCTGCACAATAAACTTATCCTATGGTTGGCAGACGGATATCTCGCCTATGCCACAAATTACACAAGCTGGCGAAAGTCAATCAATCCTGAATCCGTGCTGAAATTTCGTCAGACACCAAACTATCAGGACTAGTAAGACTCCCAAGATAAGTGGGACGGTCGATGGGTTCAACTACTTCACTCGTTACCATTAATTTAGGCGCTAACTCAGGCCAATCCTAAAGTAAAATTTGACATTTGGTGGGAGAGAACCGCATCTCAAATATCCTTACATTGTTGCTTAAGGTGGTTAAAAGATTACATTTTATCAGCGTTTTCACCAAACAGAACTATATCATCTGCGTATTCTAAGTCATTGTCTATGGTATGAACAGTATTGGTATTTTATTTCTCGTTTAGTTAATTCTTAACTTTGTAAAACTCTTTATTAGTTATTGCATTATTGGTAGAGTAACCAAGTCTTTTTGATTGAAGCATGCATAGAAGATACTTCAATAGATGGTCTGATTTCCATGAAAAGGAAGGTGTATTTCACATTGTATATTTCATTTATAATTATTATCGTTATTACTAGGCTGAGGATCGAGCTCAAGAATCTGAACGACTTGTCAACACTTTACAAGCTGATGCCGATCGTCTTGAAGGTAAAATACGCATACACACACATATATATACCCCTACATCGAAATATTGTATTTCAGCATCTAAATAGGTTTTCTTTTGCATCCTGTTGTTTAGAGATTTGGATTTATCTTATATCCTAGTATATTATCCTAAATAATGTATGTATATACATTTCTATTTTATTTTATGCATGAGTGAATGCTTGCCTGTTTTTTTCATTTTATCCGGCATATAATCTTTCTTCCAAAACATTAAACTGGAACTATATTCCAGGCTGAACGACGTGTTAAAGAAGCAAGTCATCAAGAGGAGATGAAACAAATAGAATTGTGCAAATTAGAAGGTGAGTAGTGTGCATTCTGAGAATATTTGTTTTTCAAATTATTTATAATTTAGTGTATATTCAACTCGGAACTCTACTGTTTCATGTGTCAGAGAAGAAGGCTAATGATATGTTGTAGTCTTAAGCTGGAATTTTGAACTTGTCATCAAATGATTGAAAGTTATGTACATTAACCTTCTAAACCGTTACTTCATATGACGATATCACTGTTATCATCGTTATTCTGATAGTATTCATTTTAATAGCATTAAGTTGTCCTATTTAGCTTGATTAATATTGTCCAGTTTGCAACAAATCTTATCCTGTGAAGCTTCTTAGTTCGTTTGAGTGTTATTAAAAGTATGTAAGCATTTGTCACTTCCTTTTTTTGGGTGATGTGAAATGGAAACTGGTCTTGATCACATAAGTAAGGGAGGATAACTCCTTGAAGCTAGTCACACGCAGCCTTTTGTCAGCGGTTTTGAATAAATTAGCTGTCAATTTGAGGTGTGCTTTCTTCATAGTCAATCTTTTCGAATGCGCCCATTTGTTGTGGAAAGGCATCACCACTTCAAATTATGGATGTCTGACGGAAATAACTAACAGCCGTCAAACTTTAGTAAAGTCAACTATGTAACTTTCCTTCTATCCTATCGTCATCTAATCGATCTGTTTGTCATGACAGGACCTAAGGAAACAAGTATTTCAGCTAATACAGCTTAACTGGATCATCACAATCGGCAAGCCTAATCACTATCACAATATCGTTATTTCAATTTGTTTTACGTTTTCTATTACTAACCCTCTCCCTGTCTTAAGTCTGACTACTAAATTGATGAGATTTTTCTCATAGAATTTAGTCAAATAAAAAGAATGTAGTCTGATTCGTTCTCCTCTCCCTCCTCTGTTACTCACGTACGAATTCATGAAACGTACATTTTATCTTTGTATTTATCACGCAACTAAGAAGAATTCACTGTAAACACAGTTGATCATAATCAAAGGTGGATGGTGGCTAGCAGTGGAATCTAGTAGGCACGTTCCATCTTATTTCGGAACTTATGAGTTGGATGTACCTGTATCCGAGAGTTAACTCAGTAGCTAAGTGGATAACGCGATAGGGTTTGAAGTCGAACGCTACTAATTTGGAGTTTCGGAGTGAATATCAACTCTGGGATACAAACACATCCAGCTGACGAATCCAAAAATAGGACGAAACGCGCATCTTGAATTTCACTACTAGCCATCAGTCATCTCTGCTTGTGATCTAAGGTAATATCGAGGCAATCCATACAGGATGTACATATGCCAATAAGAGACTGATCAATTCCAATCCTAAACATCAATCTGAAGATTAAAGTAAACAATACAAAATTGAATAATTGATTATACTTTATATTCAATTAATCATTCATTCATTCGTTCATTCATTTGTAGAAACATTGGAAGCTGAACAATTAAATCATACGAATCTACGTCGTGAAATGGAAACAATGTTTACTGAAGTAGAAAATATCTAATCAATAGTTTACTATTGACAGAAATATTTTGTTATTTGAATACTTTTCAAAGGAACTAATCATGATCATGCCCCAGTTACATACAAAACAGATCGTATAGTTATACAACTGTATACATATACATAAGCATGAGATATGATCAGTTAGATAATGCTATGAAAAATCTACAGCATGATATCTTTTGGTTTGTTTTATGCCTAACTTCTATTGTCTACTGAATAATGCTCTTTTCTTTTTCCAACCCCTGCCTCCTTCTCCTCCTCCTCCTCATCCCCACACTTTTGAGAATGTGTCTTGAAGATTTCCTCTTGGAAATACTACTGTGCTGTTACTATTATTTCTTATCAGTATTACTTCAATTGTGTGCTTTGTTTTCGCCTTGTGTTTTTGTTATTGTTGTGTATGGTCTTATTGGTGAAGATTTTGATCTTGTAGGATGTTATGCTATTCTCTTTCGGTAAAACAGCGCCTATTTATACTTTCTCATAGGCTACTCTTGTGGTTTTTCTGTTTTTTTTTTGGGTACATAATATCAGTATTTTTTTTCTATACTAACTCCCCTTCTATTCTTTGTTTGTCTACCATCTTCATATACAATTAGTGCCTGTTTTTACCCAAATGATTTCTATTGTTTATACGTGCATTATGTTCTTCATTTGTTTCCATGCTCGTTTATTTACATGGTGTGTGTGCGTGTGTGTGTGTGAATGTGAGTGTTTGAGCTTTTGCATAGTGTCATTATTAGCCTTATGTAATCGGAACATTAATTGTTAATATAGTAAACAATTTGTAATCAAGTACACAAACTTGTGTTCTATTCACTTACTAACTATTATTTAACTGAAGTAAATACTTTTTTTTATTATATTAGTCGATATAGAGAAGTTAGTCAGTTTTAGTTAGATTGTTAAGTGTTTCAACTATACTTTATTTACTGTTTCCATGCATGTACCATTGAAAGGAAACTATGATGTACATATCTTGTACAGATGCCCTGATACGACTGAAGGTGGAGAGAGTTAGCTCTCACATGGCCACTCCTGTACAGCCACTCCAAGGGAAGTCCTACTCACTGCCTTCTCGCGAAGTAAATGTTGTTTACGAAATTGAGAGGACGAAAAGCGAATGTCTAGTGCTTTAACCGGTTTGGTGGACACGGAGGATCCACGTAGGGGAGTTGGAAAACCCTCATTCTAAATCAATGGTGCATATGGCCTACAGGATCATGATGACACAACTGGTGTATGAACCAATTATTGGTCACCCGCTACCATATGACTGCATCTCCTGACGTTACTTCACTTTCTTGTGGATCATACTTTTAAGTTCAAGGTTCAGTTAGTGGCTTTGTAAGGAAACCTTCTGTTTCGGTCTGGGCACTCGGTCAGTATCACAACCCACATAAAGTCAAGTGACTTGTGTAGCGCATATGTATCCGATGTCCCTTTGTACTAATATTAATGTGTTCAAATAAATAAATAAATAAAACTAATAAATTATCACGAATTCAATGTAATGGTAGTTAATCAGTCATGTCCCCAGTTAGCTCTACGTTGACAGGTTTGTTAAACGTGTTAAAACGTGAAACTTAAACAATGGATAACCAACCATCAATATTAAAGTTAAGCTTAGATTAGGTAGATATCTTTCGTTAGACTGAACCTGATGTATTTATATTCAATTATGTTATTAACAATCAAGTTATCTTAGTTTTTTTTAGTGTAGTTAAGGTATAAAGACTTGTCCATATGAGATTCTTTAAAGATGGTTCATTATCATTGATGGTATTGAATAAAAAAGTATTATGTACTGTAAAACATGAATTACAACTTTAATATAAACGAAATATTGATCTAAAGGTAAAACCATATAGTGTACACAATTTCTCTGTATAAAATGTATTCGATGATGATGATGTAATGGTAAAAATGGAAACAACTTAATCTCTGGTACAAAATAAGATGCAATACTCTAGTTAACAGACTGGGTATTCAATGAAGTTATTTATTTGAACACATTAATATTAGTACAAAGGGACATCGGATACATATGCGCTACACAAGTCACTTGATTTGTCAGTCAGTGGTCTTGGGTGCTGTTAGAGGTATGAGGGCGGTTATCACTTCCCGGTTGCCCACACCGTGGAAGGGTTCTTCTGGAGGTACCTGAAAAGGAAATTGGATTAGAGGCGGTCTCAGTGACCTGAGAGCGTGACCGCAGTGCCCAAGGGACAACTGCTTGGGGCCGGTCGCGCACGGCCTTTTCGTGGGAGGTTTTTGACGTGTTGGCTCCGTTCTTTGAAGGGCCTTACCGCCGGAGACGGAAATCCGTGAGGTAAGGTGAGGTGCGCATTTTTAGGGTCGACCTTTTCTAACCCCACCCCTCCTTGTGGGAAGGCAGCATCGCTGTCATGCTGGTTGTCTGAAGGAAACACCTTACTGCTGTCACACCTCTGTACAGTCAGCAGTACGACTTCGCCTTCGGACCTTGGGTTTGTTGCTTTTAGTCTTACCGCTCTTCAACCGACCTGTCTGACATGGTAGGACCTTGAGGAACGGTTGTTCCAGCCAGTATAGCTCGGTTTGGTCATCATGATAGGCAAGCCCGGCCACCACGTCAAGGTAGCAACAACGGTCGGGGTGTACCTGTAATCTTGAGGGAACTGGTGCTCCCTGGCGGATCCGATCTCGTGTGACCCAGCTTCACAGTCAGAGACGTTACCACTGAGCTGGGTTGTGATACTGTCCGGGTGCCCAGACCGAAGCAGGTGGTTTTCTTAGGGGGCCACTACCCGAGCCTTCAACTTAAAGGTCTGAACCACAAGACAGTGGAGCAACGTCAGTAGATGCAGTCCCATGTTAGCAGGTGACCAATAATTGGTTCATGCATCATTTGTTCCTTCTGGATCCCGTGTACATCATTGATTTGGGACGAGAGTTTTCCAACTTCTCTAGGTGGACTCTGTGCCTACCAACCCGGTTAAAGTACTTACTTACGCCTGTTATTCCCAATGGAGAATAGGCCTCCCGATCAGCATTCTCCAACCCACTCTGTCCTGGGCCTTCTTTTCTAGTTCCATCCAATTCTTGTTCATTCTTCTCATGTCTGTCTCCATTTCTCGGCGTAATGTGTTCTTCGGTCGTCCTCTTCTCCTTTGACCTTGAGGATTCCATATGAGGGCTTGCCTTGCGACGTAGTTGGGTGCATTCCTCAATGTGTGTCCTATCCACTTCCAGCACTTCTTCCTAATTTCTTCCTCCATTGGGATCTGGTTTGTTCTCTCTCCCACAGTAGGTTGTTGGTGATAGTGTCTGGTAAACGTATCCGAAGTATTTTGCGTAGACAATTGTTAATAAACACCTCTGTCTTCTGGATGATTGCTTTCGTAGTTCTCCAGGTTTCTGCCCCATACAGTAGAACTGTGTTGACATTTGTATTGAAAATCCTGACCTTTGTGTTGGTTGACAGTTGCTTTGAGTTCCAGATGTTTTTAGTTGTAAATATGCTGCTCATGCTTTTCCGATTTGCGCCTTCACATCTGATTCAGAGCCACCGTGTTCATCAATGATGCTGCCCAAATATTTAAAGGTTTTTACATCTTCCAAATCTCCGTCAAGTGTGATTGGTTTGGCGCATGCTGTGTTGTATCGGAGAATCTTGCTTTTCTCTTTGTGTATATTGAAACCTACTGCTGCTACACTGGTCGTCTTCTCCGGTTATCAGTCAAATAGTAGTTTTATTAACACGAATTACGAGCAGTTGATACAGAGATATCTGAAGCTGACAGAGTAGTCACCAACCCAGCATCGACTTATTTTTTAGAATAATTATTCCAAGCGTTACGAAAAAGTCTATAACTAAAGTAAATTTCCTGCTATCGGGTATTGTAATTGAAAATTACTGATAGAGAAAGCGTTGACCACTTGACTGATCTTGCATGTCTCACCAGTCATGGTGGGTTGGTGACTTGATGAAACTTTGGCTTGAGTTGTTTTTTGCCAAATTTTATGTCACTTGTAGTGTTGGCGAGATGTTCATCTGGCAATCGAGGGCAGAGTATACTGTGCAACACTAAGCTCAGTCTTACTTTTTGGTTACGAAACAGTGTTTGATATTAAGAGGCCATTCGTTTATTACTAGTACGTCATGTAATTTTGAGAATAGACTCAAAATATCAGATAAAAATGGTATGTTGATTGATAAAAATGTGAATCTTACATTGTGTATATCCAATCACCATCTACTTAGACGCTCAATGTTAACTGGTGTAAAAGTGGGTTGAAATAGAGCTAAACCAAAACAAAACAAAAAAAACATGACATCAGTTCATATAAGTCACCGACTATCCGGATGACGATTGTAGTTAGGTGCATACTACCTAGTTTAGAACTTTACATTAACCATGATCAGTAGCTAGAGATCAATCACAACTGTATAGAATACAGTCACTCTTTGTTTATAACATAACATACATTCCATTCCTAATTTTTTTTGTTTACTCTCATAGATGAATTGGTCACTGAGAAAGAGAAATACAAAGCACTCAGTGAAGAATTGGATTCAACCTTTGCAGAACTTACTGGAAACTAATTATCACATGACTTCTATCCTGTTTCCCCCCTCTCGCTCTCTTTTTTCTCTTTATATTCTATAAACTGTTACTAAGTATTTTTTTTCGATCCTTACCCAACTGGCACTTTAATTCATTCAATATATTCTGCTTATATGATATACAATTAATTTGTATCTTATTAATGTCTTATCATAAACCAAAAAAAAACAATGATCAATTAGTCTTTGATTATCATTTCTCGAATTCATTTTCTCCTTCTCCCCCCCCCCCCCAAATATTGATTCTATTCCATATATCTATGTGGGATGTTTTATTGGATCAAAAAACTGAGATCAATCAACTTTGTCAAATTCTTTTCATTCATTTTACTTATGTCACAATGATCCAAATGATGGTAACATTTAATTATGATGTGATGATTTTTCTTTTCTTTGAATAAATCAAACCTATTCCTAGATTTCCTTATGTTTAGAACCTTAAATTTTGATGGCAATTACACGTAATTATGCAAATAAATATACATATACAATATACATTTTCAACTTAACTAGTATTCTTCTTAGTTCTTTCATCGTCCCCAAATATCATGGAATAGTTGAAGGTGAAGACAGTTTACTCCCCCCCCTCCTCCTCTTCGAATGTTCTCATATGGGGTCACGCATATATTGTGATTCATACTCACCTCTCAGTTAGGGTGTTGTTTACTAAATTTAAAGGAGTAAAGAAGAATAACCGGTTGGAGTTTAAATTGGGTTGTGGGGTATGGAGGACTCAACTAGAGAAGTCTGGAAACCCTGATTCCAGTCAATAGTCAATATGGGTCACTAGCTACCATAGGAACGCATCACTTGACGACGCTTCATGGCCTTGTGGATAGGACCTCTGAGTCAAAGGTTGGGGGAATGATTGTCTAAGAGAATTACCTGCTTCGATTTTGGCACCCGGGGAATATTTCAGCCCATACACAAATTTTATTTTATTTATTTAAACACATAAATATTGGTACAAAGGAGCACCGAATACATATGTGTCACGCAAGACATTTTATTTGTGTGTGGGCTATGATGCAACCCGGGTGCTCAGACTGAAACAGGTGGTTTCCTTAGGAGGCCACCATTCGAGCCTTTGACTTGAAGACCTAATCCACAAGGAAGTGAAGAGACGTCAGTAGATGCAGTCCCATGGTAGACGGTGACCAATAATTGGTTGATACACCATTTGTTCCTTCAGGATTTTGGAGCTCATGCACACCATTGATTTGGAATGAGGGTTTTCCAACTCCCCTATGTGGATCCCCCAGGTCCACCAACTCGGTTAAAATACCTGCCGGATATTCACTTTCCGTCCTCTCGATTTCGTAAACAACACCTACTTCGCGAGAATGCAGTGAGTAGGACTTCCCTGGCAGTGGTTGTATGCACGTAACCATATGAGAGCATTTAGAGAGACAGAGCTGACTACCGGTCGTAGCAGGGCATTTAGAGGCTCAAATTTAGTGATAACTGGTGAGGTTCATATATTCTTCAATACCCCTTTGTACCAATGTTTAGACAAATAAACAATAAATGAGTTTTATTGAATCAGTACGCTAACAATGGACTATTCTTCATTTAGGAGAAAAATGTAATTAGTAGTGACCTTCTGTTCCATACTTGACCGTAATGACGATTTAGACTCGTACAATGATTAGTGAATGGTGTCACATTCGCTTAATCCTAAATTGTTGATCAAGTTTTGTTGATCTCGGTTATTACTCAAAGATCAATCAATTTCAAAGAAAATCAATCGCATCTAGAGTAGCTCAGTAGTAATACCCTAGACTGATACGTTTATTCAAATTCCGTGTCTAAGGTTTCCTGTCGATTATTCCCGACCAAATAGCATTCAACCTTTTGTTCAACTTCACAAAAGTCTATAATTTCTTAAAGATTCAAATTTATATGACTCAACACGAATATCTTAATGGTCAAAGCGTTCAAATACTAAATATAGTTTCTTATAAGTTGTTGCGATGAAATTGGAGATTACTTTCGGCGAGACTATAATTTATGGATGAGCCAATCAGAAGCGTTTGATAGATTTCAAGGTTACGGTGCTAATTTCAATACCTGATACTCATGTACGTTCGGTTTATAGCGGATTTTGAAGATGTGATAATTTAGCGGCTACAACAGATGGGATTACTAAGAAGTTCCTTTATTTGTGACTGAGGTAATAAAATAATTGTTGTACAGTGTGCAGACTACTGCGATGATGTTATCTATTTTGGAGGAAGAAAGCTGCTAGATCAAGAACTTTCTTCGCTCGATCCCGATTGAGACTGAGACAAATCATGATAATCGTTGCAAATTTGATAATAAAAGCACCAGTAACACGTTACTGAAGCTTTAGCCGTTCAGTGGTATGAGTATTGTAGAGATATATGTGCAATGAAAATGACAAGTTTATACGAGTCGTTTGGAGGATTTGGAAGAATCGTTGAAATAGACAAAACAGTAGTCAGGAAGCGAAAATTTAACAGAGTACTTAGTATTAAGGAAGACTGGGTAAGAGGCAACTCCATAAATATACCTCACAGGTCCTTGGACTTTACGACAAGTCAGCCCAAAAGGGACACTTCCAAAGGGTAAGAAACCAATAGGCGACGACAATTATACAAGAGTATGTGCAGCCAGGCACAACAATCTATACAGATGATTGGAGAGCGTAAAGATACCCGCATACACTTAGTTATATACATCATGTCTTTGTCCATAAGCTCCATTTTCTAGACCCTACAATCGGAGTGCACACAAACATTATTGAAGCTATGTGATCGAGGCTGAAGGAGTTTTTACAATCTAATCATTGCTCGAGAGGTCAACTATTATGGAGCCATATAAATGACTTTCTCTACCGTATGATCTACGATTTGAGAACCTCTAAACCTCTTTCAAACCTTGACAAGTTTTGGAACCATGTAAAAGAAGTGTATCTACTTTAAGTCTTTGGTTTTGTATAATATATTTTTTACTTTATACTAGGTGTCTTCTGATTGGCTAGTATTTCTCAGGGTCACTTAAGATTCATTCAAAGGTCGTCCATAAATTATAGTCTCACCGGAATTGAAATCCAGAAAGGATTAGACAGATCCTTAGTATTAGTACGGAACTCCTCACCACCGTGTGCCTATAAACCCATGGGAGGTTGAACCCAGAGGATTCAGGCCTCTGAATTAGCGATCCACTCTTAATCTGGTGAGTAGATATACAATGGTTTACATGTGTAACTTTAATGTGTTCGAAATATTGCATGGTCAATCTTCCAACGTTGTTAATGAGTAACTCCATTGATCACATCTTTTTACTAAAACTCCGGAAATTATCCATCACATTTATGTTTTCAACACTCCCTTCTCTTCTCATCATTTAGTTTTTGGTATATTGTATCGAATACTTAGTTGAATTCATGAGTCAATTAATACGGCGAGCATGGGGTAAGTAAGGTATTTCCAACACACAACCAGCATAATAGCAATGTTGCATTCCTTAAAGAAGGAGTGGGGTTAGGAAATGGAAACCACTCCTTTTCCCGAGGATATCCGTCTCCGGCGGTAAGATCTCAACAAGTACGGAACTAACACGAAAATTACCTGCAAAAAAAATGTGTGTAAGACTAACCCCAATCAGTAGTCCCTTGGGCACTGTGGTCACGGTCACAGGTCACTAAGACCACCTTTAATCCAAATTTTTTTTCAGATACCTCCAGAGAAACCCTTCCACGGTGTGGACAACCGGGAAGTGATAACCGCCTTCATACCTCTAATAGCACAGCTTCGCTCTCTCTTCTTCACTTCATTCACTACGATTCTCTGATTGTCTGTTCCAATCCACGAATGTACACAATATACATATTCAAAATATCCATTCTCGTATATAACTTATTTAATTCCATTATACATCAATGCGATTGAAGTTGGTAATTCTATACTAGGCTAGACGACATGAATATTTCAATGCCAATTATATATACAATCTTGTAGTGTCAGTCATTATTTTATGCCCATATACCTTATTCTAGCTTTCGGACATTCCATTCTATTCATTCTACTTGAGCCATATTTTAACCTTGTCAATTATTTGCTTATCAGTCTTGACTGTTTTTATATGAGCACGTAGGTCTGTGTACACTTCATATCCCATGGCTCATCACATGCCTGTAGCTTTATTTTGTCTAACTATAAATATTGAGTAACGCTTGACTAAAATGGAGTTGACTTCCCAGCCATCTACCATACATGTCATTTTGTTTTACTATGTTTCATTCGCTTCATAAATAAAATATATGTATTCACAAATCACTGGCGAGACTCTAATTTAGGGACGAGCCAATTAGAAGCGTTTGAGCAGTTTCAAGGTCACGGGGCCAAGTTCAACACGCGATGCTAACATACGATCGGTTCACAGTGGATTTTAGAGAGGAGGTGATTAATGAGAGGGTACAACATATGGGATGGCGAGGCTAATTTAGGGACGAGCCAATCAGAAGCGTTCGAACAATTTCAATCATTAGCCAATCAGAAGACAGCATAAAGTAAAAATATATATTAAAAGAAAGTAAGATATTACAGTGGATATTCTTCTTTTACATGATTTAAAAACTCATGTTAGCATCCTAACCCTAATCTTGACCTTAAAACCTAACCCTCAACTAACCCTAACCATATGTTAGCACCCTCTTCCTAACCCTAAACCCTAACCTTACCCGTAAACCTAACCCTAACCCAATGGACGAGTTTCTATTCCATATGCATTGTGAATTCAGAACCTCTGAACCTTAATCAAACCTTAACAAGTTTTTAAATCATGTAAAAGGAGAATGTCCACTGTAATTCATTACTTTCTTAGAATATATTTTCACTTTATACTAACTGTATTCTGATTGGCTAATAATTGTCAAGGTCACTTAAGATTCGTTCAAAGGTCGTCCTTAAATTAGAGTCTCGCCCAATCATTTATACGATCTAAATAGGAGTCAGATCCACAGGACACTAAAAATGGTGAGCCCTTCAACGAACATTTTCCAATCTGAATGACGGCAAATAAAAGGGCCCCAATAATCTACTTGGAATTCAATCCCAGGTCTACTAAAATGATGATCCCATGGACAATAAGATTGACGTCAAAATACACATATCACTAAACATGTTCATCATAAACATAAGTCAAAATGTTTCATTTTTGTATATTCATATATTCATATAGTCATATATATATATATATCATAGGATTATATATATAATTGGTTACTTTCAACATACAAAGTATATGAATTTGAAAAAGCGCTAGATAGAATCAATTCAATTGTGCGTATAAACTAAGCTATAAATCACTTTTTTTTTTTGATAAAGAAATGAAAAAGATATAAAATAAAAGTAGAAGAAGACAACAATGTGAAATCCATCTTCCAAATTGAACTATAGATTAGATAGATTGATTAGATAGATAGATTGATAGATAGACGGCTTAGTATCTTGGACTCAATATCTATATCTATATATATATAT